AAGAATAATAGGTTGTGGTCGTGCTTCAGATCAGTGTGTGTAGGGCTTCTGAGTAGGGCAACAAGCTGAGGTGGCACAACTGCCGTCAGCTTCCCCGAGAAAAGTAAACACTGAGCACCTCTAAAGGTAAGCACGTGTTGATGAATATTCCTAAAAATGGTTAATGGCTTAGACTCTCTGTTAGTATAAAATTACAGGGGTGAAGTCAAGGAACTGAGCTGATTAACCCACCGGGCAGAGCTGATGAACCTGGAAATGCCGGGCTTTGGGTTTTATAATTAGAATTCTGGTAGGAAAGGGAGACATGAGAGATCAAGAAAGCAATGAATTTTGTTACAAAACAAACCGTATCTGACTCATCAGCATGAGCAGCAGAAAGATCTTTAAAATTTGTCCTTTGAAGCCAGGGTAATGCAACTGAAAATTGCTTGAATAAAGAGAGTGGAAAACCACAAAATTCACTTTTTCTTTTCTGGGTCTGTTTCCAGTCTAGTCTGTCATCTCTTTCTTTTCTCTTCCTTTCCACTGCTGTGGAATAACACCCAACTAAAGTTATTTTCAGCTAGTGTCGTTTCTCAGGTACATGAGAACATTTGGAGCAAGCCTGTAAGGACAGCGGAGTTAGTCGAAATTTATGTCAAAGTAAGTAACAGCACATCTGTCTTCAGACAGTTCTTCGATCCCAATGCATTTGTACAGCATTACAATATGAAACTAAATTAATTTCTATAACATGCCGTGGTCTAGCTTGTTATTAAATGGGTCGTGTTCCCTGAACTTCCTAAGAAGACTAAGGTCACACTTGCTTGAAACGCCCAAACTTCTGAAATGTTTAGCAGGAACGTGGAGTCAACCTGTGTGTCAGCAAGGTCTGCAAACGCACAGGGCTCGCCTGGGGCTCTGTAAGCATCGCTTCCCCCGTGAGGGAGGGCTCGTATGCACTTCCCCGAGGGAAAGTGATTCACCATACCGGGTTGAGACCCCATGTAAGCAACTCACGAAACTCGGCTGCACACTGCATGGGAATCCAGGCATGACTCACGACACCCGATATAGAATTACAAGCAGACGTTTGCAATAACTAAGCAGAAGCTTAACATCACATCCCCTCACTCGGTGCAGGGGTACCCTGGAGAAGCAACCCTTCTGGATTCAGCCTAGCACTCAGGTGCTTGATCCCATACATAGGCTTAACCAGGACAGGAGAGCGATTTAAGCCGGTGGATAAGACCGACCACACTTTTAATGGTTTTATACCACCTGCAGCATGGGCTTAAATGACTTGCTAAACTAAGTTGTTTTCTGAGTTGATTTTCCTCCAGCCTGGGACGGGGCGGGTGGGGGGGGATCACAGATGCTCTTTATATAGAATAATCTTGGACCAAAATGGGAGACCCTTGTAAATTTTCCGTAGCAACCCCTGGCCTGGAGAGGTCCCCACTGCCTGAACGGGTGCTTATCATCTTCAGCCAAGCTTCTCAAACGCGCTGAGCGTCGGCACCCGGGGGTGCTCAGCACGTCCTGGTGGCAGGACGGGGGGGGGGACGAGGACACCGCTCATGCTGCCTAACTTGGGACAGGTACATGCAGAGCCTGGATTAGGCCTGTGATTCAGAAGTGAGCTGCTACCTGCTCCTGAGAGAGACTCCTCCGTAGTGTGATTCAGAACACCCTCAGGATCCTGTATGGATGTTCTAAAGGAGATTATTTATATTAATCTTAAGTGAAATCCAAAGAAATATTCAGAGTACTATGAATACTCTTCCCTAAAGAATTTCAAATTTGATGCTAAAAGCCATGAAGGAATTTTTGACAACAGTGCTTAACAAGACACAGGATCCAGCATTTACAGTGCCTGATACAATACTTACCCGTTGTCTTACAAAGTCATCATTACTTAACCATCTAAACTGTTCAAAGCTCCCTACAGAGTTACGGATTTCTTTTTGCATAGTAAGAGTAAGGTAATTTTTCCATTAGTGTAACTGCAGAAATGCAGAATTCTTTGGCAAAATGTACCTCAGCTGTTAAAAATATTATCAGATGAACAAATCTCCCTTTCTCCTCTGCCCCTCTCCAAGGCAACCACCTGCATCATCAATACTACTGTGATGCAAAATCTAGGCTGAAATTTAGCTTTAAACACTTTTCTAGCAAATGAGTGCTGCGGCTTCTTCCTTCTTGCTGTGTCTGCTAGCAGTGGCTATGCTCTGCCATCAAAGAGGGTGTACATGGAGTCCTGTAAACACGTACGTACATTTTTTTTTTTTTATGTAAAGGTATGAGCAATGAATTGCACTGATCTCAGCCAGATGGATGGAAGTCACTGGGTAAGCAGTGGTTTTAACATCGACAGGCATTTTTAGAAAAGTTTCGGTCAAGTATGGTGCACCACTCCAAAGCGGGGTGATTGAAATACGGTATAAAAGAGGAGACACTCATAGCTGCAAGTTTTTCCTAAATCCCCGGTTTTCAGCATGAGGACACCCTCACAAGCTGCGGGTTAGCGTGAAGGTAACTGAGCTGCCTACTGAGCTGCGGTACCAAACGTCTCCTGGACCTCCTGGACGTTTGCGATGCTCTGCCTCGCACCATCGGCTGTCCTTAGCGCAGGACTGATTCGCTGGGTCTAATAAAGCTGGCATATGGCTCTCCTCTCCGCCTGACCTTTATGGGTCTGCCTCACATAAACCCTTCGTGCACCAGCGTATGCAAAGCTGCACGGCCTCACCTCTAAGTGCCTTCCCTTATCAGGATATATGGCCCCGCATTATGCTGCATATTTATGATTTGAAACACTGGCTGATAACGCCGGCATAGTCAAACAAAGCGGTACATGTGACAGCAACCGGTTCATTTGCTTTAGGGAAAGAATATGACATCAGAAAGAAAGAGATATATGCTCGGCTACATTTGATTGGAGGTAGTCAAACAGCCGAAATGATATAACCATTAAGATATATTTTCCTGATAACTATCCATATTCACATATTATCTATTTATTTTTCTCTGGTATCTTAGTGGAACTTGGAACATGTTTGACCTATTTTTTTCCACTGGGCATTTACTGTGTTGCTGGAAGCAAAATTCCTCGTTCTTTCTGGTTGCATTATCCTCATAAATTGCAATAAGAGAAGCGTTATTTTTGTGAGTACTTGTGTCATTAAATAGCAAAATGTTTACCGAAATGATCTCTATTAGTGCCTAGTAGGGTTGCAGTTTGAGCCTTTTCGGTCCACAGCCAGAAATATTCGTGAACTGAGTAACTGAATCAGAGCAAAACACACATTTCTAGAGTTGTCCCCTTCTAAAACGTGGCGGTAAGTGGCACGGTTCCTGGGAGCCCTGGAGAGGGATTTCCTGAAAGGGAAGATCTGATCTTGCACTGCAGATATTCTGTATCTGCAAAAAGTGAAAAATGGTGTTGCATAACAATGACTAGGGTTTTTCCCGTAATTTTTAAACCGTGGTTATTCTCAGAGCTGAACTAACCCGCGCGCCAACTGTCCCTAGGCTCGTGCTGTCTGGAAAAGTCAGGCGGTGGAGGTGGGTTTGCCGTTTTGGGGGGGACGGCGCGGCTCCGTGCTGCCCTGATGCGCGTGGAGCCGAGCGCGGCGTGAGGACAGAGCTGCTCAGCATCCCTCAGAGGTTTCCCCGGCCCTGGATGGGCTCTTCTCGTAAACAGACTACATCCACTCCTGACTGATGGTACTAAGATAATTCTGAAGCCACTATTGTGCTGGGAAAGCTCCCTTTATTCTCCTAAAACACTCTCTTTTGACTGAAAATGCTTGCGATTGTTTTCAGAGTGGAGTGACTTTGGGAGAGGTAAGAAAGAGGACACTTCGTTTGAGAGCTAGATTTCCAAGTTTGGAGCTAGAGGATGTGACTGACCCGGGACTCTGCTTGGATAACTCAAAACAGCTAGAGCTAGAAAGCTTCAGTGCAGCCTGACGCTTGAAAAAGCAAGCCACCATGAGAGTAAATCCATTGTTTAGTGTGGAAGCTAGTTAATATTGCTTGAATGCTGACTTAGATTTCTTCTTTTTATGCTACTCCAGAAATCCATTTTCTATGCAGATTTACTAAAAACATTTTTCTGCTGTGGATACGTAGCTTATTGAAAGCACAGAAAGTGTTTTAATCATCCTTACAGCATTTGACAAAGCAGGTTGTATGAGCAGTACTTAGCTGACGCTTGAGGAGCAAACTAAACCCAAGCACGACCCGTCAGCCCTCGAGAAGTTCAAGCTTTGGAAATCAGACTCGTTCATCTCTGCAGAATTTTTTCCTAAACACGACGTCCAACAGTGGGAGGAGGGGGTTCCACGGGGACGGCTGCACCTTTCTGGTGACTCCGGGGCACCAGCGTAGGTCAGAGCAGCCCAGGGAACACCCCAAATTGTGCGCACGGGCACGAGGTGCCCGCAGAGCCCAAGCCTCTCTGCAGCAAAGCAAACAGCCGCCCCTAAAAAGCAGTTCTCCACAATTATTTCCAGTGTATAAGGGCATATAAGGGCTTGTTTCTCTACCGGCTGCAAATGCGGGCAGTGGAGGGGGAGAGGAACCAACAAATATTTTAACTGCTGCTGCTTTGGTGCAAGGAAGTGAAGATCTGCGTATTCAATTTGACTCCCTGACTCATTCTGCTGTATTATTTCACGGTAGTGCTTCCGACACACGCGTTTGTATGTGAAATAGGCAGAATTTTGTAATTCAGAGCCACCAGTTCTGAATGACAGACAGTGCTGCTGCCACTGCTGCCCGCAGCAAATCTCACTTCAGCTGCAGTGGCGAAAAGTCAGCGCTCCGGTTCTCCTGGTGAAGAAACCCTCTGCAGGGCTTCATTTTCAATAAATTGCGCATTTTCTTCACCCAATCCCTGGTTATTTCCTCAAGCCATTATTTTGAATGCTAAACTATATTTCACGGACCTTTTAAGTCAACAGCTTGACTTTGTCTTACTGTTTTCTTCACAAATTTTAAGACCACACACTGAGCTCTGCTAACACACTGTATTATGCTACTAGTAGACAAATTTTAACATCACATCACATACATGTTGCAGTTGCTGTTGGAACATGCCTTTTAAAAAATACTTTTATTGGATGAAATTGTCTCTTTCCCAAGAAAAATCTGGTTCTTCAATAGAATTTATTATGCCTTTTAAAATTCTGTCTGTTCAATAAAATCTTTGCTCTATTATAAATACCTGTAACGAAAATATAATTTAAAATTCTGAGAGAAAACATTTTTTTTTTTCCTTTTACATTTTTCACAAAACCCACACAGGCACCAAGGAAAGACTAACAATAAAAATAATTTACTCCTGTACAATCTACTCTGGGTTGGAAACATTCAAAAGATAGATCTTAAACTTGTCTTCTGATGAAACTTTGGCTACAACATGAGAACTGATCTTAAAACAAAGGAGGGCCCTATGTTTTCCATCCGTTAACTCTGAAAACTTCTTTCAAGGGCTGATTGAGTGTTGCTAGTGCTTTCCTTGCTGTAACACCCCTGAATGAGGACTGGCTAAAATCGCAGTTATCTGAGGGAACCAGCCTCTGAGCTTCATTGCACAGGGCTAAAAGTGGTCCTGACTCACCAGATGGGAATATTTATCGTGGCGATTAAGTCCCCATTCTGAAAATTAAACATTGGTGGTAATAAGTTAGTGCTCTCACTCTGCGATAGCAGCAATTAGACATTTTTATGTTTTGCTTGTTCAGTAGTTCTGTATTGCCAGAAAGCCTGTGTGTTGAAAGGACGGCACAAGAAAGCTTTCTGATTTGGGCCACTTGCAGGGATTTTTTTAATCACTTCTCATTCCAGGCAAATTTCTTATTAGAGAGGGAGCGACTCAGTGTAAGAGACATTCAATAGTGGAGTTGTTATCTTTGAAGTATGGACTAGAAATATGGAAGAATTCTTCAAACCAACTAAGCTTAATCTATCTAAAGCTGGCAAAAAAGCAGACTAAGCCCAAGACAGACATAAAACCATCACAAAGAATGAATAATCAGAGATTTTTAAATTTTAAGTTTGGTAAAACAATTTCTAAAGTTGTCTTTAAAGCAGTCCCTTTTTCCATAGAAGAAGACTTAAGTGCTATTACAGTAAATAGATTTACCTTAAAATTACAGAATTTAGTGTGAAGTTTGAAAAATCTCTATCTGAACTGAGGAATTATGAGCAAAATGCTAAACTCTTGTCTTGCGTCATTTTAAGAAATAGACAGTGAAGGAGAATCAAACATTTCTACAGTCTCTGGAAAACACATTTCAATAGTAGATGAGAAAGAAAAGTAAAAATCAGTCAGCACTTGTTTGGATTACCTCTGGCACTGCAATGAGGTAAATATCCCCTGGGAATCTTCATTCCCTTGTTCTAGATCCCCTCCAATTTGTGAGCAAACACTGCATTTTTTTTATTTTTTTTTTAATTATAAAATCATATGTCAAACTTGACTCTGACTTTAGAGAGGTATGTGTGGAAAACTGTTTGTCTAGCATCCTGCTAATGTTAGAGAGCCGCCCGCCCCAGCTGCTTTCTGACAGCCACCTCTGCTCCCTCCTCTTCCACCTCCTCCTTCCTTCTATTCCTCTCCCTCCTCCATATTCCATTCACTCTTTCTCTCCATTTCTGAGGCCCTTCTCAGGGCATTTCTTTTACTAATCTCACACCTCTCCCCATCCTTTTTGCCTTAACTTCCTAGATATTTGGGAAAGGTTACAATCTACCACAGGCACTCCAAGATCCAGTCTTTAAGTGGGCTTTGCTGGTACAGTTGTCCTTTCTATTCCCCTTTGGTCACAGTTCAAGGAAAGGACAAGGTGATCTCAGCTTTGTTGTCCTGACTACTGCGGACATAGGCATCTCAGAAGGCGTTTATATTACTTAACTTTAGAAATCTAACTGAGGCTCTATAGGTAATTCAGAAGCAGTGTAAAGACCAGCTGAGTGCCCTGAAGTGCTACCTATAGGAGCCTCTGTCTTCATTAGCTACATATAGCCTAGAAAGACTAGGCTCGTAGTTCAGGCACTTCACTTAGGTAAAGTTAGGAGGTGAGAATGCCACCCCGTGGTCTGGGATGCCTCATCTGGGGCTCTTTTATGTTAGTGTATGTCCCTCTGTAGTCTAAATCATGAATAACTTCATCAGTGTCCACTGATGCTCCAATCCAGCTCCAGCCTCCCAGCGACTCCTTTACAGGAGAACAGAGGGGTAAGGGAGCATTGCTGTTTGGAGAAAGAACAAAAAAGCTATGACAGAAGCAGTACTGGCTGCATCTGCTAAATCTGGAATTAATGCCAAATGTAAGAAAGACTGCAATATTCATTACAAATTCAGGGATGAGAGTATCTCCCCATAGCTCTGGCAGTTTGGTTCAAAGCTGCTTGGTGATTCAGGTTTTGAATCCTACTGTATGCTAAGTGAATAGGGGGGAAGAATAAGTAACATGAAAATTGTTTAAAATAGAGCATTAGGGTTTTCAGGGGAGTACTATTGCATTTCATGCCTGAGGGGGGGGCAAATCTACTCTGATGGTAATGAAGAAAAGCTTTGAAAAAAGCTATTACTAAAAAGCATCAGTTTACTGCCTTATCCTCCCACACCTGTTTTTTCCCTTCCTTGATATTTGTATTAAATATAAAGCAATCAAAGCAGCAATCACACAACTAGAGCATACAACAGACTTCTGAAAAAAAAAAAAAAAAAAAAAACTACAGGTGGGGTGGGGAGAATGAATATTTCCAACTCAGTGCCATAGCCTATAGTTTAGTTTCCTTCATTTATAATATCAACCAAGGCTTGCAGCAGTCTATCATCTCTATGCTTATATGGTTTGGCATTGTAAAAAAGATCAACGTAGTCACTGTACAGACTTTCTTCTGAGTCTCTCAGCTGGGAGGGCTTGTTTAATTTTTCGAGGGCTTGATAGAAGTGTTCATATGGAATATTTAACTTCTCACTTGCAGTCTTCTTTGGCAGTCGCTTCTGAGCCATCTGTCTGCTGAAAGCACTTTGCAGCAAATGTAGCATAGCCTCTGATGGGATTTTACCTTCTGCTTTGTCACTGCTGCTGCCAGAATCTTCTGTGACTTTGGGTTTTTCACTCAGGTTCTCCTGTGTGGTATGGTCCTAGAATACAGATTAGCATAAAAAAGGTTATGTGTCAGTGAAAATCTGAATGGATTAAGATTTGCTCCGGTTAATGATTTCTCTGTGTGTGGGTAGATGCTATTTTTTTTTTCATTCAGGAGCCACTTAGCATCTAAAAAAGAACTAGATTATAATACACCAAAACTGTCTATCAGAAGGACTACATTGCAGAAAATATCAACCCCCCCCCCCACAGTGTAGGAAGTTATAAATTCAGATTCCACATTGGCAGGATACAACATGTCATTTTATAGCAGGATTCGTCCCTGTCTTTAGAGATATTTCTGGCTGTACTCTGGGACACGGCTCCTCAGCCGTCTGAAGGAAGCACGTGCGGCGGTGACGGCAGCTCCGCTTGTGCCCCACACCCGTGTGAGAAGGACAGATTTCATACAGCCCTCCCTGCAGGCGCTTTCACCCGGGACAAGACAGTGAAGGGTGGCTGAGGGGTGGCCGCGGGGCGTACCCTGGGACCCTCGGGAGAGCGATGCCGGGTACAGCCATGCAGGGAAGCTGGTGAGAAGCACCGTCTCCCTGCAGCAGTGGATGCTACGCCTCCCGTACTGACACATCAGCCTGTGGCCTCAGAGCTTCCTCATTGGCACTGGGATCATCTTTCTAACCGAACGCTCATCTTATCTTCACCTGTTTCTTACCGCCTCCACCCATCTTCGGCTACAGTACCCGCTGAATCCACACTCTTCCAATTTATTTTCTTGCACCTGGCTGCCACGCCTACGGACACTTACCTAATGTATTTAAAGACCATAATCATGTCTTCCTCAATACTCTCCTTCGTAACCTGGCTGAGGAAGGTCAATTTCACTATACTTTATGGATGTCCCAGTAATGGGGAGACAAGCTGGTGTGATGTGATTAGTAAAGTCTTGCGAAGTTGTTGACATGATCAAGCGCTGTGAAAACGTGCAGTACTACCACCCAGTGCATCCAGAAACCCACTGCCACCCTCACAAGCCTGGAGTATGTTTAGTATATTCTACCTGAAAGGTGCAGAAAGGGTGACAAAGGAGCTAGCAGCCACAGATCCCCTTAACCAAACCTTCTAAAGCAGCAAGTCCCTGACTTTTGTCACGACTCCTGCTGCTAACTTCCTTCCAAACTCCCTGGGAGCCCTCCAGCAGGCAAAGCTCCTTTTGGATGCAACGCTTGTTCTCACTAAAATTACAGAAATTTAGTGTGTCTCTCAGAGGTGTATTCCTCCCTCCTTGTACCACTCAGCTGCATTAGCTACTGAGTTCACTGCTTTAGTAGCAATATTCCCTTACCATCCCAACACCCTTAGATGTTAGCATATGAAAACAGAGACTAATAAAAATACCAGTTGCTGACACGGACAAAATTACCATACACAACTCATAAGTGGTCAGGAGCTAGATGAAATGAATAGAGAATGAATATGTGTTTTCTCACTGGGAAAAAAAAAATAATTTTCTTATAAATTGAAAAATACATAAGGAAAAAAATTAATGTAACACTACTTCTACAAAGTCTGTCATCTTCTCCACTCCTCTTCTGTCATTTTGCACAGTATTGTAGGATGTGTATACGCGTTGCTGCTTCATATGTTCAGGCTGGGTGGCAGTGCCATGCAAAATCAATTTCCAGCTTACAATCCTTCCTTCATTTTGTATTCTTCTGGACTAAAGGACAAGCATTGCATTAGCACAGGTTCTCAGGACATAAGAAGAAACAGGACAGTTGATAGCAAATTAACAGAAGTGACGAAAATAAATTATAAGGCTTTTAATATCTAAATTTAGACAATGATTTATAAGCACCAAAAGACAGACATATTAGACAGGATATATCAGAAAGTGGGATTGAGTGCAATGGCTTAACAATTCCAAATATGCACATTTTGATGCAACATAATTCTGAATTAATCATGTAAGCATCAGTGGAATTTTGTCATAACACGGAATGCTAAAAATTACCAAAGTAGTATTTTGTCTTATTGGTATTTATTCACTAAACCATTCCTTGGCAATTTCCTCACAAAAGTTACCACTGAAATAGTGATTTGGAATAATATTATGTAGTGGTGTACAACAGCAATCTGAAACACGGCATGTGGAAGTGAGAAACAAATGCTTTGTCCATGAGTTTTAGCGGCATTATTTAAATAGTAGAAAGTGGAAGAGACAAGTACAGAGAACACCGAAACTTTATTTTACAAAAGCTTCTTTCAGAATTTTTGCTCAGTCGTTTAGCGTCTGAAGACAGCTCCTGAAGCTCTTCTTTGTTAGAAGTCTATACTAAAGTTTACATGCACGACTTACATGACTCAAGTATGAGTGTACTCTGCACAGGAATCTGATTTCAGTTAGGGTCATTAATATGAAAACCTATTTCAGGAATCACAGAACCCCACAAGCTGAGGAAAGAGTGCATTACCTCTTGTGGACAAAAAGCTTGGTATATTGTAAGTTTCAGGAACCTCTCACTTGAAAATGGAAAATGAGAGATAATTACAAACAAAACGCTCTTCTTAACTTCATTCCAAAAAATGCGTTATATGGATTACAAAAAGCAGGATATCTGTAACCATGGGGTTATCTATAAGCCTGCAGTATTAGCACTACACTGTTGATAATAATATTTACTTCTACTGCCTTGTCCATCTGCTTAGTACTTGGCATTATTCTCCTGTTTACAATCTGAGGCCAACAGGGGTTGGAGGCTCAGTGCCTGGTAGGAAGCATTTAGCTTCTGGCAGGATCTGACCCCTAATGACAAGCTTATTAACAGACAACTTCAACGAAATTCTCCAGAGATGAGTGCACTTGATCACTCTCTCTTTGAATAGAATGGTTCTTCGGTTGCCTATCAAGCAGCTTTATTCTGGAGTCTCACTGTTGTAATCCATATCCCCAGGTGGTTTTAGTAAACTTATTTATTTCATATCTGTAGATTTCTTTGCTTTAATCCTTAAATGTTGTTCAGCAGTAATTACTCTAAGAAAGAATTTAGTGAAAGGTATACATCGGAATAGGTCTCTTGAGGTGACGAGAAATTCATTGATCCAAAAGGTTTTGAGTTAATGAAAATTATGGGCATGTACCAAGAGAAGACTAGATCTACGTTGTGTTCTTTTCTGCAGAAAAGCCTATTTTGCAGTTAATCGCATGTTAATTCGATTACATATTTCACTGCACGAATCACAGAAAATTATATTAAGTGATTTATTTCAGTGACGTGTTAATGTGAGGAAAACACAGGCATGAAATTCTTTTGACAGGTACATGTCTGTGAAATGAGGATGGTCCTTTGCATTTATGTAAAGAACAAGAAAATTTGACCCTATCTTTTCCCTTTAATCTTTAATCCGGATGGATATTTAGTTTGAATTAACTCTTGTTGTAGCTTGCTTACTGAGAGGACTCACTATTCAACATGCTTGGTAGTGCTTAGTGATCATTTTATCTGTCTGAGCTTCCAAACATAGCCAGTTAAGGTACATACTTACCACGTCGGTAATTCTTAGCACCCAGGTGCCTGTTGGATTCTCTCCCCATGTGTGAACAGACATGAAGTCCCAGTTCTTAAAGCCATTGGGAGATTTATCTCGCTCTCTCTCAGCCAGTAAGACAGTGCTGGTCCCTGTGATGGTGCAAGATCAACAGTAGTGACTGCTCATACACGCCCGCTTCTACTTTTCACATTGCTCAGACTGCACACGGTCTGGTGCATAGGTAACCTGGAAAATACACTATTTAATGGTGGCTTGTGGAACGGGAAATGTGCTGTTTCTGATCAGTGGTTCCTTTAACTATTTTCACAGCATTATTTAAGAACATAAAAACTACCACACTCGGTCATGCTAAAAAGGCACATGGTGCGTAGAGTTCAGTTTCTAACACAAATTTAAAGTAGTGGATGCACAAAAAGAAACATAAGAAATAGAGACCAGACACAGCCAGACTTTTCCACTGATGACCAGTTCAGGAAACTTCTTTTTCTTTTTGAAAGCAAACCAGCTCAGGCAGTGTTGTGAAACCAAGGCCTTATCCTGAATTCATGACTATGGGGTTTTTTTTGGTGACTGCATGTAAATTGTTACAGCCTGGAACTCCAACAGGGTGAAAAGCGTTTGCATTGTTATTATAATTAGAAAAATGCTCACAAAGTATTTCTGCAGCATTAGAGATTCTACTGCACAGTAGGAAATTTGTTGTGCTTGTTTGCATGTAAGAAGAGAGAAATGGAACTATATTTACATAATAAGGAGCAGAGAAGCCCCAGGGAGCCTGTCCACAAGCTATAAATATATTTAAAGGTAACACCGTTAATATAGAAAATGAATGACATGCATTTGGTGGTACTGTTTTGCAGAAAATTGGAAAAAAACAGCAAGAACCAAGGGAAAAAACAGTTTAACCGTGAAGACAACATGATACTATCATGGAGGCAAGCAGCACATGACTATTGATACCTCAGCTAGACCCACAGAAATACATACAAATATGAAGAACATATTACTGCCATCAGTCTTCCAGAAAGGGTGGTTGTTCTAAGATGAAGCCATGCTTCCTACATATTAGCAGCAGAGCAGTGTCTTGGGAGGGAAATAGCTCTATAGAACTAGAATGAGAGCTACTGTTGCTGTCACATCCATGTTGTACCCAGTCCATATAATTACTCCCAAACTAAAACTTATCTAAGATGGAATTCAATTTGAAAATACCACCAAGAGTCTAGGGTAGAACACCTGACAGCAACGTTGTTCCTGTATGACAAAAGATAAACTCAGAAAAGGAAGAATTAAGGTTAGGCTCAAAAGGAATCCCAGACAAGGTAGGGTTTGGAAATAAACTGCATGTACAGTCTCTTAACCCTGCTCTCTAGTGAGGTCCTGAAGTACTGGTATGAACTAGGCTCTAGTGGTTTATTATCTGTGAATTCCTAGATTAGCCTTTGATACCGGTAAAGTAGATCAGCCAGATGTCTAAATTCTTACCTGCAAGCTTGTCTTTTTTTTCTAACAATACCAGTTGTTCTAACAGATCTTAGCCTCTACAAAGCTGTTTATACTCATTCTCCTTTTCTTTTCTTTTTTTTTTTTTTTCTTTTTTTTTTTTTTTTTCTCCTTATGGTGTTATTTCAGGGCATTGTCAAGATACCTTGCCATATTCTGGCACATTTAGTATAGTTGTACTACGGTGCCTAACAGAGGCACTGTGTTTTTAAATACACCAAGGGGGAGACACAGTTACATGAAATATAGGGAGTCAGATTTCCTCAGTTTTCCATTAGTTTGTTAAATCACAGTAAGGCTGATAAGCACTATTGAACTATAATTTGCTGCCTGCCAGGAGCTCGCAGATTTTATAGGTCCTGTTGCCAGAATGAAAATGTATTGGAAATGGTGCCTTCATTTTCTGAAGAATGATTTTCAAAGCTCTTCTCACAAAAATAACCCTGAACACACAGAAGGCTGAAAAGGGGTTTCAGAGAACCAGTTCTCTAGTTCCCAGGATGCTTTGTCCTCACACTCACCTGCTGGAGGTCACTAGATTTGTCTAATGATATATTTAGCTCTTTTTAAACCACTGAAGAACACAGAGGTGGTTTCTAAAGAAAAAAAAAATGTTACACAGTACAGCAACACAGACAAAGCATATCTTTGCCTCCTGTACCTGATGGAGATGCCAGAGTGACATGAAGATCACCTCTACGAGAATACTCAATTGTTGCCTCAAGCTGCACATGCTCCAGGGATGCAATGGAGTTTTCTTGACCCTCACAGGCTTTTGTGGGAATTTCAATGATGACTTCCTCATTTGCTCTTAATAATCTGGCAAAATTACAGGAGTTCTTTGATTACTCACAGAAACTTTTTATTCTGCATCATTATGTGAATTGCAAATGATACATTTATCACCCATTTCAGAATGATGAGAAAGGAAGAAGTAAAGACAAAATCTCTTTTCATTATTTTTCTGAATGCTCCAGTAAAAACCATGGGAAGTTCTGGAAGCACAGATAATACTGAGGTGGACCAAGTGACAGGCACTGCATAAGACATAGTTGTGCTACACATCCTGGAAGCAAGCAAGCAAGTTTGATAATTAAGGGTTTCTGCCAGCCTTTCGTTGTCCCAGAAACCACAAAAAAGCAGTCTTTGCATCACAGGACTGTATCAGACTTGAACTTAGTTGCCTCATTCAAATATCCAGAGGAGCTGTTGTCGTGGGGCTAAAATATTGCAGCAGGCACAGCTGTTTTAACCCTTTGTAGTCCGTGCCATCTCAAGGAAAAAAAAAAAAAAAATCTTCTGTGCATTCTTTGTACCGAGAACTACTGTGCATTGCTTTCTCTGCACAATTTCCATTGCTTTAGATGAGAATGGTGTACCTAAATCTCCACATAAATAATTCTAAACTCAGAATTGTGGGATCTTTCTTTTTATAATGTAACATAGAGGACTGCAATAAAAATACATAAACAGCAAGTATTATATACATCAGTACTGCGTCAACACTCCGTGGAAAGGAGAGAGCTCATAAAAGCAAATTGATAGTAAAATAGCATAAATAGTAAGGTTACCCATCAGTGACACTCTGTAAAATGTTTCTACAGACAGACTTTTGGTGCACTCACACAGTATAACTTCAATCTTTGAAACAGTTGTATTTTTTCTAGACACAAATCTGTAAGTGAACAAGTGGAGACAAAACCAAGATATCCTTACTGATTAGCCAGCTTAGTGACTAACTATAACTTACCTGTACGTTGAGCTCAGTTTAGGCTCACTATGCTGGGAGCACTTGTGAATGTGACTGGTACGTCTTTTAAGTGAGCCTTTGAGACATTTCTGTTTCATAAGAGACATGCTATGGATGTGACTAAAGCTCAATATATCACCTTGATTTCAACATATGCTATGCCTGTCACAGGAGAAGAATTGCTAAGACTGATTAAGTGATGTTTTTCATAAAAAAAATCCCTTCAAGACCTTGGTATCTTTTTATTCATATTCTGATAGCAGTCTAAACATTCATATCTTATCTTATTGGGTTCAGTCTCACAGCATCATCCATCCATACACTGGCTGCGCAAGCAGACATAGTAATTTTTGTTAAGGCTTCATGCTAGTAATTTCCATCAGTCTTACACTAAAAAAGCAAGCAAACAAATGCTCCTTGCCTGCCCCTGAGCAATACAGTAAGGCAAAACCAAATTAATCAAAAGAAATCTCTTAGTCTGGTTCAGAGCAACCTGTGTAGAATACTGTCCTTCAGGCTTTACTAAATTAGACATAAGCTTCTTACTGCTAATGCAAATTCTTACCTTGGTTCAAAGCTTTTGTCTTTGACAATACACTCTCTCTTTTCTGGTACACCTTTCCATCTTTTGGGATCAGCTAAATCTACCAGTGCATTGGCATTGAGTAGTCCAAACCCAAATCGGCTGTTGACCATCAGTCCTGCTCCATTCTTTTTCCATCCTGGATTTCCAGCCAGTGGATCATACTCTGAGGTCCACACTACCAAGTGCTGCATATCTCTCCATGTTAGATTTGGGCTGTTGGGAAAACATGCCAGCTTAATTGTTTCAGGTCTATCAATTATTAGTCTGCAACAGAACATGCTTTGAATGCATACGGCAACACATTATTTTAAAATATATAGCACATCGCATGCCTATCTCTACAATACTTCTCCAGGTAGACAAGATTTGTGTAAATGAAGAATGGGTATCTAGCAAGATTAGAGTTCAATTCTTCAAAATTTTTCAGGCTTTTAAAGTTGACTAGCAAAACTAGTTTTTCCCACCAGTCTTTATGGGACCTGGACTTTAAAAATTCACCAGGTATTTGATTCTAACCCTCCCCTTTACAATATGGCCTCAAGTATCCTGACTTATGTCATCGAAGGAGCATGCAATAGAAAATGGAGCTGAACCTACACCATTCAAGTATTAAGCCTATGCCCCAACGCCTGCAGTGCTTTCTGTGATAAAGCCATTGTCCTGTCCTGTCCTGTCCTTTCTTACCCTCCCTAAGTCATATATTCTGACTGCCAGCCCTACAGGATCCTGTTCCCTGCCTGCTCTGACAGTCAAGCTTGGGCACCCTCCATTTTATGGATCATCACTGGCAGAAAAGGTTCTGTAAATTGACTAAAGACTTAATTTAAACTCCTGCAACCTACTGTCTTCAAATTACGTCCTCCCGATACATGTGCAGCTTCACTGCTTTTAAGTGCAATTGACCAGAACTCAGTAAACGACTGTTGCCAATGCACAAAATGGACTAAAATTCCTTGGTCATCACATTTCACTTACATTGTTTCTGCTTTGCTAGGAAGGCGTTGAGGCAAGGAGCTGCTTATTTTTGTCATCAGGCTGAGCAAGTCTGACTGACAAAAAGTGGAGCTGCAGCATGAGATGATGCCACTTTAAACAGACAACGTTTCAGGGAAGATGGTGGGGTGGCTGGGAGAGAGGAGTTTCAAAGGTAATTGTGTGACATCTTACTTTGCTTCCAGCGCTAGAGCAAAAATTCCTGCTGCCAGTGGTGCAGATGCAGAGGTCCCAGTGTGAGTCTCTGTACACTCATTGTGAAGATCAGCACTTGTCTGATGGAAAAACAAAAAAAGAAAAAAAAAGAAAACAAAAAACCACACAGATTGCATGGATAAACAGTTGTAAATACAGTCACATTGACACTCACAAACATTATCAGGTAACTTTTACGTGGTGCATATTACTGCATTCTTCACCAGCAGAAAAAGTGATGGATGTTTAAATCCATTCATATTTCAATCCACTATTTTAACTTCAACTATAATTTTTGTATCAAAACACTCTGTGTTGGAACAAAATACTCCCACACTGAATATCTTATTTTATTCTAAGGTTTCACAATAAGTGTTTCAGGCTTACTGGTGAATCATAAAAACAGATCATTGTGTTGGGCCTAGAACATTTAAAATTACTGCTTGCTAGAAAATTACTCATAGGATTAGTATTGGTGTTCTGCTCCCTCTTCAGCAGAAGAACTATAATTTGCAATGAAACATGTGCTTTATTTGGAAATTAAATACCAAACTCATCTGCCCATGTATCTACATCTCGGCTATGAAGAGAAGCCACTTAGAAAGGACTGGCTAACTTGGAATGACACGGTTTTAATCCCCATCAGTGTACTTTATTGTAAAATTAGCATCCACCAGGGCCGAACAGATATTCTAAGTACTTCACCATTTTTTTATCAGAGCAATTTTCTTCAGTACAAGTTATTTCTTGCACAGCTAATGAAGGTACACAGACTCTTACGCCTGCTTGATGAGTACACTTTAGGGGTTTGGAAACACTATTGTTGCTGTCGTGAGTGGGAACTCAGGGGCTGACAATCTTACAAAAGCTAATGGCAAGGTATACCAGAGGTACTGACTCATATGGTACACCAACTCCACAGGTTCTTTTTTTTTCTTTTACTCTAAATCTCTCTTCATCTGCCCTTTCTGAAGAAGGGAACCATATCAAACATCACGCAGAGACCTCTGTCGTACACAAACAGCAGACAAATTCAACATGCTGATTTAATTGCCTTGACACAATGATTTTGCTTAGCCATTGCTTTACAGTAGAAGATGTTCCAGGAATACAACCACTTACTGGATTACAAATCCCTCAGCGTTTCAAGGCAAAAGCACTAAGCACGTAACACACAACGTAAAGCAGGCGCTTGAAACCAAGCATTTAAGAGCTCTCACTCGTTATTTGCATATATCATACATTTCTATGTTCGTTCTGAATCTGGTAAAAACAACCTACAATTCTTTGGTCAGTATAATCCCCACTGCTGTATGCTGTGGCCAGAGTTGAAGAGCACTTCTCTGCATACCAGGGAGAAAGGCCTTGCTGAGAAGCACTGCTAATGGAGATGGTGTAGATACTATCGGTGTAACCGTCACAGTCACAGTTGTCACCCTGACGGCCTCCGTTCCCAGAAGCCCACACGAAAATGGACCCTTTCCCATTTCGGCCCTAGAGAAAATGGAAATCAGTGGTCATCGAAGACATCTCGGCCTCTGTAATGTATTCTTAACCACCCCTCCCTCGCAAAAAGCCTAACATATCGAACATTTTCAGCCAGAAAAGGATCATTTCCCATAAGCACCGTGTAAGACAGAGGCAGAAGAAACCAGCTACTTGAGATACCCTGCTTCACACCCCGCCGGTCTAGGTTTAGTGCTTCAGGTACAGCAGCTTTCCTCGGAATAGGTTTTTAAGTTAAAAACAGAGTCTGTGCTCAGCAAGTAAGTTTTCCCACATGCCGATGTTTTGGTCTCTGGGAAAAATGCCCATTTTTTTAAAGAAATGTCAAGTTTATCAGAGGTTATTTCCTGCAATCACCGAGGTACGGGCGAGCAGTATGAACAACGTACATGACATGACTTTTCCACCAATTTATTTTTTTTTTTGTGAGGAAGCCTTTCACAGCTGGCATTCGCTTGCTGAAACCCAGTGAACCAGCAAGCGCATCTGACTGAAAAGCCCTCCCTTCTCTCACGGGCCTGTGGGCCAGCACCACCAGGCTCCAGACGTAACCACATTCCTTCCCTGCTCCGGTCTCCAGCCTGTAATGAGGGAGCAGCAGCTAACAACTGATGCTGGCAGCTGACAGCACGTAAACCATCACAGCTATCACTGAGGAAATATGTATCACCCCAGCCAGTCTTAAGCTGTGATAGTCCATCAGAGGAAAAAAAAAAAAAATCTGTTTAGTATAAAGAGCAAAAATTCATATGTTGTTCATTATTAATATATGTACATTCACTGGGAACAGCAGCTGAAATACAGATTTTTATCGTTCAACTCAGATAAGATTTGAAGTTGCTTGTGCAAGTGCTGACACATTTGCAGCACTTAAAACATTAAAAACAAAGAAAAGTAAGCTCTACTGTCTGTGATACAGCTGTTAAAATGGGAAGAACGAGACATGTCAATTACAGAAAGTGAGATAGTGTCTTCCTTTGAGAACAAAGGCTGCAGTCCAGAAAAGCACTGGCATATGTAAACACCTGCTTTGGTTTCACTTAAGAGTTCTACTGACACCTTTGAGGTGCTTAAGGTAAGCACCCACTTCAGTGCTTTACCAGACCCGGTGAAGCGCCAGGGGTGAAAGCTGTTGGGCAACTGCAGCTCTGGCTGACCTTAAGCAGAACAGACACCGTCCAGATCCTCGCAAAAGGAAGCCTGACAAATGAATGGGTAAATTTGCTCCCCTTCAGAAACAAAACAAGTTGTAAAAAAAAAAAAATAAATTCTTCACCGAAGAACCCGCTTTTTCAGAGTAAGACCACTGAACTTCGGTTCCCTAATTAATGCCTTTAATTCTCCCTCTTCTCTCGCTGCCTACCCATGGACTTAGATCTCAGTTGATCACCAGCCAGCTCCTCTCAGTCTCCATTCTTCCCTCACAGTATGTTTGTCAGCTGTCAGACTTTTCTTCTCTCCTGTCTGCTAATGTTAACTGCCCTTTTTCCAAAATCCTCTCTTTGATTCTGTCCTTCAAGCTTTCCTCCATTTCTACCCTCTCCCATCTCTGATTCAGTCTTCCTCTCTCCATTAGTACCTGTCCATCTTCAGGTATCTTTCCACCCCACTGGCAAAAGCAAAAGTAGTTTATTAATACATCCCTAGTAGCTCTCAGTTTGCCCTCTACTTATCATCCAACCAGATCTAAAAACGACTGCAAAGAAAAAAAAAAACACCTGTAAAAACATTGCTTCCAATACCCTTCATCATGCATTTTTACTGTCTTCATTTTAATTGGCTCATGATATGCACCAGTTTATAAACTAAAGCAATTAACACAATGCAAGCCCATCCACAGGGTGCTAAAATGCATTGCTATTTCACACAGCAAAATATTCACAAAGCAGAAATTTTGTATTAAATTTTATAGGCTTTCAGTGCAGAAATCCAATTACTGTTCAGCACAAAACAAGCAGCAGAGAAGGGTGGGGGTAGGGCAAGACAAAGGCAGCAAAAGTAAGGATGGAAGAAGAAAGCTTATCTGTGGAGAACAGCAGCTCAAAACTAGCTCAGAAAGCTTTGATGGTGCTTTTTAAAAAGTCCTCTTCTGGCTAGTAATTTGTCTGACCTGTACTATTGAAATCTATCTCCTCCCTTTCAAATGTTTGAGCAAAGAGAGCACAAACTGTCTTCATCTCTTCTCTGATATCAACCATGTAAAAATTCTGTTCTCTGGCACATTTTACGGTATCTTTCTCTTAAGTATCGTACCTGTTTTATCCCATACTCAAAAGCCTTCTGTGCCAGTCTCCCAGGTCCCTCCACAGTTTTACCATCATCATTAGGCCCCCAGCTTGCGCTGTAAATATCGACGTGTTCTGGATTGAAACCGATTGAACTGGCTTCAATGGCATCAGTGACTATTCCATCCAGCATCCGTATACCTTAACAGAAAAAAAAAAAAGCAGTACACTGGATTTATTTTCTGTTCCCTCCTCTTTGTCTTTGTGAACTGCTTGTAAGCCTTCCAGCAAAATTAATCCATAACTATTGCAACCACCTACTGCTGTTCATGTAAGAAATACGGAGGATAGTTCATGTCAGTGTGAAACGGTACACTTACCCTTTATTTGCAGAGCTCTGTGCTTGCTACAAATATTTAAAAAGCCTTCTTAAAATCCTGGTTGCCCCTTATTTACTTTTTTCTCTCTTTTTACAGGGAGCCAAGATGACGATTTGCTTACTGTTCCTGCCCTTTCTTACTGCATTGAGCTCTTCCTTGACCCTTTCTTCCTCTCTGTTAAATCTGTAACAAAGACTTCTCAAACTGCTAGCATGCCACTAAAATTAGATAGGTTTTATCAGCATTACTTTTACCTTTAAGAGTCCTAAGAGTTTTAGTTCAAAGATGTAGTTCTGTATGTTCTGTCTAAAACACTTTTCCCTCACAGTCATTAAGGTTTTTCTGTCTTTGTGACGCAGCTATTTCACTAGCTCTTCAATCTTCAGCACGAAAAATTCTCACTGTTGTTTTACTGCCACGTTTTTTTTCTACTGTGAACAACCCAGAGATGCTAGAGATATCTAGCCATTAACATTTTATTAGGAAATGCATGAGCTAATCTTCTTCAGAGCGAGCCTGATCTCAGTGGTACTTAAAATTCAGTGGCAGACAGCGGTTCATCTGTACTGGATCTCTCGCTCTGCAAATCCCCAGCTCTGCAGCAGGACTGCTACCAGTGTCCAGTGCGGGAGGAGGATAGAAATAGCAGAAGTCTGGCAAAATTCCCACTATGGCACGGCTCTCCCGGCAACAGCAGCAATGTAGGAGCCACAGCAGTCAGGATGCAGCCTGTGTGTTTTCAAGCAATAAAAATGTCTGAGTTATCCTGAACTTGGCAAGTTCGTACTACAGCAGCTGCACCATTACTGGCAGTTGGTGAATTATGAGTACTCATTTTCTAGTGTTTTCCGCAAAATGGGGATTTTTCCAAAGCACAGCAGGCAAAAAGTGGCCATTCTATTATAAAAAAACATAAAGAAAAAAATCCCACCACCTCACCCTCGCAGCTCAGTGTCTTATTCCTTTTTTATAATACCAAGCAGGGAAAAAAAGACTGTAAGCATAATTCGTTTCCCAAATGGCTGGCCTCTAAGACTTGTAATACCTCCGAGATACGGCTGGGCTTTATTATTTCATATTAATTAGTGGCAAAACCAGACAAAGGAGTTAATCGGCTCAACCACTGCTACTCCACTATCACTCACAAAGCCGGGAAAAGAATCAAGCTATATCCTGTGCCTCGGGTACTAAAAACACCACTTACCCTGGATAGGCTTAAACTCGTAACATTTTGAATACTCATTTTTCTGTTGGCTGAGAATTGTGAGATTCTCTCACGCCAGCGCACTGTGAGCAAAGATCTGCCGGTGTGGAAATGACTGCCAGCTCCGGGTCTGAGCTTGCAACACATAATCAGATACTGGGACTGCAGAGAGCAGTGTACAGATATTTCCTACAGAAGAAGACAGAGCCAACTCTGCAGATAAATAATGTAATAGGGAAGAAAACAAGAACGCTGACAACACACTGATAAAAACAGTTCAAGAAAAAAAAAAAACAAAAAAAAAAAACAAAAAAACAAAACAAAAACGCTGTCTTGTCTTTGCGATCGCCAAAAATCCTGCTTGTTTAATTCAACTCAGGGATGTGATGACTGCAGCGATATTTCCCTACGCAGACTCCAGTTATGTCCTCTTGCATAAACTCTTTCTTATTCTTGCACATGCTTGCTTCCATCACCAGCCCCACGAAATCAAAAGGAGGCAAAACCCAAGGTAATTTCAGACACATACATGTATCTGCCTGGCAGAAGGATATTTTTAGCAACACGTTACTGTGCAGGAACTCTCAGCCCAGTCCTCTGTAAAATGGAGCTTCTTAATCATTTGATTTCCATGGTAGCACCAGAGAAATATCATAGCACAGTGCTATGGTTAGGTATGTGTGGAAATATATACACCCTGTTTTACTTCAAAGGTGATCGATACGCACACACATTTCTTAGCTCTATACAGAACAAGCGGAGAATGCTGAAGAACACTGAAAGGTGTCACACTGAAAACTGGCATTAAGAAGTTTTGTTTTGGTTTGTTTTTTTTTTTTTTTTTTTTTTTTCACAGACTGCTCAGAAAAACCTACGGGATTCACAGCCACAAAGTGCTGAAGAGATTAATCCAGGTCTCAGAATAGGGCCAGGCATTGATGTGACTAGTGAGAACACTCAGGATTATTAAAGCTAGCATTCTCACGGAAAACAAAGACTTTTGAATGGAATGTTTTGTTTCACCCCTCAAGACAAAGTTAAACCAACCTCTGATGCTGAAGATTGGAGAACAAGGTATTCCAAATGTCAGGGTTTCTTTCCCTAAACCAGCTGTTGCTGACTATCAAAGAGAAGACATTGGCTGTGGACCACTGGATTTGTCCCGTATGGCAACTGCTATAAGCAAACAGCCACTTAAAGAGGTCATCCTGAAATAATGTCAAGCAGAAGTGTGCAATGTGACATTCCATGGATTTAAAAAAAAAAAAAAAAAAAAAAAAAAAGAAGAGAAAAGGCCTGTGAAGAAATGAATCCAGTATAGCTTAGAACATCAAAAAAGCCTTCCAGTGTTTAGCCACTCCAAATTTATCTGAATCTTTTGAATACTTCTCCTATCTCCTGTGGCTCTTTGAACATAATTGTATTATCTCCCCGACTTAATCCGGATGGTCATATATAACAGCTTATATTTTCTCTCAATTTTTCCATGCTTTCTGCTCGCCCCACCCAGGTATAAGCAGCTTTCTGGGTAATTCAGATTGCTGGACTGCTTTTCCTCCTGTTATTTTGCTTTTCTAGACAAATCACGCCACACAGACCTGTGGTTTGCATTTGCAAATGAACACAGAGCATATGTAAATAACTGTGGAAGAGTCTTCTCTGTAGATGCAAGTGCCTTAAAATGTGGGCACAGCAGGAGTTCAGACATCTTTGCAGCTTCATCCATTTTGCCCTGCTTTGAAAATTTGGCGTCTTCGTCTTACGAGTGAGATATTTTATTTAAACAGAGCATGACAGCATAATGCATTATGGCAAAGGCAGACTGCAAAGCTGACATCTGTGACAGCTCAGTAGAGTAAATGGGAACCTACAAATATAAGACTGAAATGGTGGGAATGGCAGTTATGGGTGTCACTTGCCACTCATCGTCCCTTTGTTCAAAAGGAAAAAAGGGAGTAATGGAAAAACTAGGACTGTACAAATATCCTTCTCTGAGCTAAATAACCATTTGCAACTGATACCTTGAGCACGACCATTTCATAAACCTCTAACGGATTAAACTTTTAGTCACCACTTCCAAAAAATGGCAATATTGATTGATGGGAAAGCAAGCCCCTACTTATTTTCAAAATTAACTTATGATGATAATAGAGAATTTGTTGTAATGAAAACCACAGCAGTTTGAATAACTTGACTGACATGACCTTTTGAATGTAATTGTGCAGATGGAAACAATATGACACAAGCAAGCGTGGGTATAAACCTGTATATTCTTACTTTCACTCTACTCAGTCCCTCTCCTCCCTCATGCCACCTCCTTCCAGGACAACCAATTATAAGAAGTGAGTCCATCATTCCTTAAAAGATACACTCTTATCTCTGGGTACAATATAGGCTGTTGCTAGTATTATTATTGCTATTGTTGTTGTTGTTACTATTATCACCATCACCACCACCTACGTTGCTGTTGCTGCTGTTAGATATTCTACCTCTATTCAACTGATAACCCAATCCAGAGAGTATGTTGACATTCAAGAAATGCTATCATATAGATTTATCACTCTGCACTATGTCCAGACAGGATTTTGCAGTCGAATGCTGCGAGATTGATGTTTTCTGAAAAGAACCAGTCATTTGTCTTTCAGATTAACGGTAGCTGAAAACACTCAGCACTTCACAGATCTCTCCAGCTTCCATTCATATTAGATATCTAATTATTTTCATTTTCTTACCTCCAACTCTGGAATTGTAGGCTACTCCAACGCCACATTTTCTGTTGTTGGCTTGCATGGCAATTTCTCCTGCACACCGTGTCCCATGCCTGAATAAATACAGCCAGAATAAACAACATCTCACAACATCTTTGTGTAATGTACACAAAGACTGATCACTGACCTTCCTGATTTGGTGGAAGTCTTCCTTTAAATTAATGCAGAGCAGCTATTGAATAGCTTTTAAGTTGTATCTACATGATACAAAAATACTTGTTTCTCTGAGCTTTCAAGCAACGTAATTCAACCTATTTAATGATCAAAGGATCATCGTGATGAGATGGTAAATACACTACCTAAGTCACAGTGAAATCCATAGACCTATTAAATACCAGTATCTTAGTAGAGTGCAAAAGTGGCATAAAATTGTGGGGCTAAAAAGCTGCTAAACTTCTTCAGACAGAAATATGATACAAGTCTTCTTTAATCACACATTTAGATACTATTTTTTAAATTAATTTATTGTCAGTAATTAATTTATTTAGGATTTCAGAAAGTGAGCCTTTAAAGTCGCTTCACCATTGCTAAATTTTTCTTGTAACCGACTATTTTCTATGCAATTCTTTTTTGCCATAGGTGATTCTTATTCCACAATACAGAAAACCTTAATGTAAATGCAACTGTAAAAGAGTTGTATTATTTAATACTACAGATCGTTATTCAATGAAGTGTTCGAATGCTTCTGGGCTGAATTCCATTTACTTATTAATAAAGATTAGAGGTAATACAGGTAGATTTAAGAGATAATGTCATTGGAACAAGAGGATAATGGCTGCTGGCTCTTAAATAACACTGTAACAAAGTAGAAATGTCATTTTTCAAATGTCTAATTCATGGAACATTTATCCTTTGATTGATTGTTTTTTTCCCCATGCCTTGATTTACGTTGTGGATGCTACTATATTGTCTGATAAACAATAGGGAACCAGTGCAACAGTTACTCACCATATCTTTACTGAGTAGCGGTATCCTGACTGGTTTAAGAAATTAACTACTTCTGCGCACCAGCTTTTGAAGAGGTTCATTCTCTTCTCTTTCTGATGGACAAAATCCCTCCCTGAACTACCATGGCTACGCGTAGGTGGGACAGACCCATCAGGGTGCTCCTCAGAGGACCAAAGAGGTGGGTGGCTCTAGAGAGGGCGTCAGAGAAAATGCCTCTCTCCTTCCAAGACACACAAGTGTCACCACGAAGTGAACTGTTGGTTGTCTTGCGTTCAAGCCTTCTGAAACTTCCTAGGTTATTACCTTGAGGACGCTTAGGGCAAATCTGGTCTAAATAAAGCTTCCATATGCCTCAGGAGAGACAGAGAGATTGCCACAGGAGTGAGTGTGACCTCCTCCCGTGTCTGACCATGTGCCATACCCATACGAGAGGAGGTCGGAAGCACGACTTCACCTGTGATTGCATGCGCTGAGCTAGAAGCTATTCTAGCAAAAGTTGGTGCAAAAGTTACTTCCAGAACTGGAAAAGAGTGTCCTCAGCTACAAAAGCTGACCTGAAGGGATGCGTTTCTTGGCAGGTTCCTCTAAGACACAGTCTCTTCCAGAGCCCTTCATAGGAGACATATTCTTTTACAATTCCCAGTGCAAAGCAGAGGACTGAAGTAAGAACCTGTTTAGGGAGGTATCTCTCTAGAAACACGCATGGTGACATGAGCAGATTGCCCCCCTTCAGCTTGCAGAAACATATCAGCATCTTACATATACAAAGATATGAAAAAATTCAGGACATTATAGGGAGATTACAGTTGCGAAGCTCTTCATCTGGGAATCTAATTTCCCTAGTTTCCAGTGTTTGTGCCAATGCTATGTGCAAGTCTGTGTGCAAACTGAAACACAAAACGTTCCTTCCAAACATCGAGAAATGTTTTTTTACTGTGAGGGTGACTGAGTACTGGCACAAGTTGCCCAGGGAGGTTGTGAAGTCTCTCTCCCTCGAAATATTCAAAAGCCATCTGGATCTGGTCCTGGGCTACTGGCTCTCGGTGTCCCTGCTTGAGCAGGGGCTCGGACCAGATGACCTCCAGATCTTCCTTCCAACCTCAACTATCCTGTGATTCTGTTAGACAAATTGTTCCTTTTATTAAATAATTGCCATAGGGGACATGCATAGATATTTTTTTGCATTTGCAGGTTCTAACACACAAATTAACAACGTACAGCTTTGTTCTCTTCACACAACTGGGAAAGCTACTCACTTGTTTTCATTTGTTGGGTCATATCTTGGAAAAGGATCATGATCATTGTCATTGAAATCATAGCTTGCCTTTGGATCCTACATTTTTAAAGAAAAACAGAATTAATTCGGACAAATCGATGTAAAATTGTGTAGCAAAATGGGTTCTAGAATCTGTATTTGTTTATTTGGTGTGCTTCATGTTAACAGCAATCAAGTTGGTAGAGTTTGATGGGCATTAACAATTCCATAAATTTTTCACGGGGCTTTAATAATTCAGCATTAAACCACTGTATACAAACATGCCTGGGAACTAAATCCACTGAGGGAGGAAAAAAAAAGAACAGAAAAAAAAAACACACAAAAAAAAATCCCAAACAACAACAACAAAAAACCATGCTGCTATCATTGCTAAGTAACATTCAGCTTCCTGTGACACAGACCAGGTTCCAAATTATGCCTAAGGCAAATATTTCAGTCTCTGTACTGCAGGAGCTGACTTACAGAAGAGACAGCAAGCTGGAGAAGAGTGTACATCAAATTTACAATTGATTAATTTATTCCATAGCATTCTAACTCCCAAACTTACATAGTTAGCATAGATGTCGGTGTGATTCCACTCCAAGCCATCATCTAGCACGGTGATGACAACACCCTTGCCTGTAATCCCTTTTTGCCATACAGGAATAACATGGAGATCCAGTTTGGGCAGGGATGGATTTACTCTTGTATCTTGCTGGGGGACAGAAAGGATTAAAGTATGTCAACATCTTCATCCATTTATACTACACAGGTCCAAAGTCATATTTTAAAGGTGCTTTAAACCATCCCAGCCTGAACTTGTATATTTTGCTCAGATTTTGCAAAGACAAAACAAAGATTAGTTTCTTCAAATACTTGTAGCACTGAAAGATTTAACCCATTACTTGAAGATCCCTGAAGACCACCTCTGAACAAAGAGAATCTTCTATTTACTGGAGGTAGACAGCAGAAACACGGGAATGGTAGGGATATACCGATGAACCTTGGAACATTGAGTTAATAATCAGACCTGCTAATGTTTGTTCTTTTCACTTGATGAGAAGCCAAGACAGTACCCCACAGTGCAGTGAGCTCTGTTTTCTCTGAATGTGTTTTCTCCTTTCACGTGCAAGTTAGCCAGAGCAAAATAATTAATGGAAAAAACAATTAAGGTAGTCGTTTGGTTAGGAACAACCGTGCTGAATCACAACTTTCTGTTTACTACTCTTATTACTGTTCCTGTGGTAAATCAACTGGAAGCATGAATCATCTATAGCCTCCTCTTCCACAACAAGTTCTTTGAAGAGTATCTCCTAAATGGGGCATTTTTCCTCTTTAGTATTAAATGTGCAGTACATACATCTAATTTAGAAAACTTACAACACCCATAAAAACACAGACTTAAAAAAAGGCATTTTCTTTCTGTCTCTCTGTACATAATTACATTGGTTGATCGCAGGTTTTTAATTTCTTTGTTTTCAAATGAAAGTTGCATAAAATATGAGGCTTAGAAAAAGAAATCTGGCAGGGGTATGACCTTTCTTGCATTTTATGCTTTCTTTTCTGACTGCTGCTGTTCAGGGTTTCAAACTTTGTTCTCTGGAATCCGTCAAACAATCATTTTTTCAGGTGACGTGTGAAGGCACACTGAATAGAGCTAAAAACTGTTGCCATCAAATCATAATAATACGGTAATAATAAGTTATTTAATACAAGGCAAGGAACATATTTTGGAAGCAAATATTCAACACATTTATGCACTTAACAAGAAAAAATTCAACATGCGCTGCAAAAAAAAGGGTAAGCATCATGTTTCTGTTTCTCATGTGGGAAAACTAAAAGGAAAAGAAGTGAAAACCGTAGGAAGATGGAAAAAGGAAATATGTCTCCTGGAGAGGAGGACATTGCTTTTTTAACAAAACTGTTATTTTTGAACTTTATGTGTTTGTGTATTTGTCCAATACAGACATCTCGGAAATTTCCTGCTTCCTACTGGCAACAGGCAAAGAAGCAAACAGATATTCAGTGTCAAAGAAAAGCTACATTCTTAAAGATAACCACCTTTTATGTTGAAAAGAAGTCTGCAGGAATCTTCATGGAAATATTTATGCTATGTGATTTATAATCTAATTTTCTTAGCTCAAACAAAGGAAAGAGAGAGCAAAGCATTATACAAACAGCCTAGAGTCTGGTTTGTTTTCTCTGAGATGGACTGAAGAAGAGAAAGGTATTTCCAGCACTTGGGCCCCATTTGTGCTTGACCCTTCTTCTTGATTTGTTATACCCACCTTTAATCCCATCCCTATTCTGACTGAAAGCAATGAAGCCTAGACTGAAGGTACAGCTAGATGCATAGTGGAAATACAGACGCTTCAAAGAAACCATGGAAAACGCACAAGAGCAACTGTATTTCTGGGTTGTCACATGCAGACAGAGACTACAGAGCTCAGGAAAGTTCTTTTCCTCAAGGTTTTGAATATGTGAGCTGTGGAGAACCTCTTCTACTTAAGTCATAGTCCAAGAGGGTGAAGGTGCTTGTCACACGCATGCATATGCTTTTGTTTTCATCTGGTGTATGCACTCTGCCCTGCCAATTTTAATAAAGAAATACATGGCCTGCTTCAGACATGATAAGGGACTTCTTGCATGCCAGCAGCAAATATTTTAAAATCATCATAAAGGTAGCTTTTAACTGTTACACTTTCTAATATCAATCCCCATCCTAAGCAGCACCCTGAGTTGGCTTTGAGAATCTTTGTACAAACAACACTTCAAAGAAAACAGAAGGTTACCTGGACATATTATGCACAGAGAGCTCTCATTTTTAGAGATATTATAATGAGAGTGACTCTTTATTTACTCCCTTCAGTGCAATCGCTCTGATACTGGGAAAACAACGCAGCTGATAGCACAACCGAAATTCACCATCCCCAGTTCCACAATGAAACAAATTCTTACCAGATACCACTGCTGATTCCACATAGGATCATTGAAAAGATTTTCTGCTGAGTCTCTCACGGTGGCACGCTTAGTTCGCTTTTTTTCGTACTGCTGCTCTGCCCAAGACACCTACAATTATTTGTATAAATATGACAAGTTAGCCTCTATAGGTTAGGACTTTCTTAGCCTAGAGGACAAGGGGTTTCCTCACACTGCAAAATTTTGATGCCTAAAGCAAAATGAGCAATGTTTGATGCAGAGAGGAGGGTTATTTGTGCTGTAGTACAGTACACTTAGGGTGAGAGTACTTGGTGAAATCAAGGTACGATAGAATCAATTCATAGAAAAACATTAAGTACAAGTTAAGAGTAGAACTCCCATGAGCGCCATGAAATGCAGGCATCTATATCAAATGTGCAGTATGGTGAGAAGGTTATCTAAGCAGCAGCGGTTACTGAAACAAGAAAAAACCACAGCCTGCTTCTCCCTCCTACCCACATTTTAATCCCCATCAATTTCTACTGGGATTTAAAGGGAGAGGAGAAAGATTATCTCTGGCTTTAGTCTAGCAATCATAATGATGCTGTTACTCATAGCCCAGCTGGACCTTCAAGTCTCCTTCCCAGTGGTGTTCTGAAGTGTGATCAATTAGTAAGCTATGAATATTGGACTAACTTCATCGCTGGCATAGTTCCACTTCAGGCAACTGAAAGCCAAAAAGCTTCAGTGTGTTTTGCTAGAGCATCGACACAGTGAGTTGCACAGCATTTGTGCACGGACACAGCAATCTCCAAGTCACCAGGTCTCCTTTTAAAAGTGCATCCCACTTGGTTCCCTCGAGTGCATTACTAAACCCAGTTCAAACCAAATCCTGATTCTGATACCTCTCTGTGCTGTGTGCTCCTTGCAGCAATGGGAATAAAATGTTATTCATGGCTAGTACCTGGACAGTCACTCTGACATAGACCAAGTTGGTGCTTTTCATCCCAATTTCCAGCTGAGCAGAGCAAGCTCAGGTTCAGCAGGTGGCCCAGATCCTGCTGTAAGTCCCAAGTGGAAGGTGCCTTGCACCTAGGCTTTTGCTTTAGACCTCTGAAAAGTTATCATTATTTTTCTCTACTGTGAGCCAATGGCTTTATGGTCCTTGCATCTATCACCATATATGAAGCAATAATAAGAGTGACTCAGAAATTATAGCTAAAAGTACTGATTTGATTAAAATATGATTTCCTAGTGAAAGACTAATGAAAATTCACTATAAGAACACAAACTCTTACAAATGGTAGCTACACCAGGAATGTTTACTGAAAGCTCTCTAATACTATTCCCTTTGCTATGTATTTAGTTCTAAAACCCCCACAAACCACAGTTAGTCACAGAAGATGAATATAACCATGCAAGTGTAAGTATTTTAAACTCCCCTATTGATACCCAGAGCCACACATACTTGTGCACAGGTTAGAGCAATTACCTTTATCTCTCCTCCCTGCCCACAGCAAAGCTTGGCCTCTTCATCACCCAACAGTAATTAACAATAGATTACTTCCATGCTTCTTGTTTTGGTTTTGGGTTGGTTTTTTTTTGTTTTTTTTTTTTTTTTTTTCAGTGTGGACAACTGCACTGAGGGAAATGGGCTGAAACTACCAAGCACATATGTCAGACAAACAAGCCAAATGTTTGTCACTCAGTAGCTGGGTGAGGTTCCAACCATCCATCTACGGCAAAAGCTGGAGGCCCTGTGCCAAACCTCCAGTCACTGCTATATAAAGCAGTGAAAATAATCTTGATTCAGGTCTCTTGCAAGAAAGTAGATTTGGAAACTAGTGCAAGTACTGGAAGAAGTTAGGGAACCAGGTAATCATATCCCTTCAATATGTTCACAACCTTTATCTGTTTTACAACACTAGGACTTCTATAGGAAGGAGATAAATACTCAGATTAGAGCCAAGTTTTACCCCAGCTTTCACACTTAACATACCACAAAATTCATGAAGGCATTAAGCAAGCAAAATCAGGATTCCTTCCTCTCACTCTTTTTAAAAATTGAATTTAAATCTTTTTAAATAGGCTGTTGCTGAACAAGAGCAGCTCTTTGGAGCAAAGGTCCATGTGTAACTACACAGCGTTACATGATTGCTTTGTGTTTATTTACATAATGACATAATTACATCTCATTCATTCACCTAATTAATTTGCATAGTAAATGGTAAATAAAAGGGAAATTGGAGTAAATTCAGCAAATCACCTGCAGCACTTTGAAGCTCTGGGTTTGGATCTAAGTATGTAAGCCCGCAATCACGTTTGGCAGTAGCGTGTGCAGCACAATTGTTTCCATCCTACTTATGACATTAGAATTTGGTGCACTAAACACGGTCATGCTTCCCTGTGGGAGAGCTGCATTCGATGCAGTAAGTCCAAAAAAGCGAGGAACCGAAACCAAAACCCTGCTCCTGATCATTGTACTACGATGGCATTGAACACCAGATCATAGGTATGGGTCTGAACTAGAACACTAATTTCCACTAAAACTGTGGGTTTGAACATCCCCAGTTCAGAATGATTTCACCTAGAAGATTTTAAGTGCTGAACCCATGTTTGCAAGGAGATAGATGGGAGTGTACAGTTTTGAAACAGAACAGGCAAAACAAACACCCCTCCTTTAATTCTTCTAGCTACATATAGAATATTTCCTCCTAGATGACATTTGCATCTAAAGCCTGCAGGTAACCAATTACTCGTTCTCAAGTGATTTGTCCTTGCATGGTAAATTGGTGGTTTTCACAACCAGGTTACTTCATGTTTTGGACTATTCTCATTTTTACAGTGATTGCTTCAATAATGATGATTTGAAATTCAAATTTCCTTGTCCTGAAATTTGCCAGAAATTGGTTTTAAGAGGGGCTGACAGCATTCCGGTCTGTTCCTTAAATTCGCCGCCCACCCCGTTTTTTCAGTATGTTTACAGACAGACATGCTTCTCTCTCAAATAAAGTCAAATAAATGGGGAGTTGGCTTTACCAGTGGATCATACCTCAGACCCCTGGCTCTCCAGTGTTCCTGCTCTCTGATTGGGGTGGGATCCCAGTGTAGCAAGTCTGGAGCGTGTGATGGACCCTCTGAGAAGGGGTTTTAGAGCTTGTCATAGAAGAAGCGAATCCAGCAAAACCTCAGCTCTTTCCCCCTACTTCTTTTTATAATTTATTTATTTAATATTCAGTCACTTTAAATCAAACCTAATTCTTGTGGTAATTGCACAGACGTGGCCTGATTAAGCTTAGTGCATCTATGGATTTTTACTTTAAATCGAGCCCTGTGGCTCCTCATTCATATTTTCATCAGCGACACATCGACATCTGAAATTCCAAGCCTCTGCAATGCTGCATATCTTAAATCTTAATTTGGAAAGCACTTGCAAAAAAATATGGTAGGAGAGGGTCAGATTCTGCCTGCTAATGACAGAATAATAAAGTATTATTCAGTATGAGTACGGATGGCTGAATATATTAGACTTGCAAAATGAGGAAAGCCTGTCTGTGACCTCATTACAAAGCTAGCAATAAGGAGACAGAATAAACAGAGAGCATGAAAAAGAATAACGCTCACCCGCTCATCATCAGAAAGTCTTTTGGTGATATGAATGGCACTTCTTCGAGACCGCTTTGGATGGCTTTTATGTCTGAATAGGTAGTGATTTTTGAGTGATCCAATCTGTAAGACAGAGGCGTACTTTAACTATCAAGAGATATTTCTCCGCTGCAAACAAATATCAACAACCACAACCTGACCGAATTCATTCTGCTTGAACGACAAAAGGAAAGAGCAAGAAACTAGCCTTTAGATATTTTCATCCAAATTAAACAACACTCCTCAAGTAACAAGTGACTATCACAGCCTGTGTGCTGCTAGAAGAAATTGGGGGGGAGTAATTTTATTTGAGCTAGTGAAGTAGTGGTTATTACTAATACAGTACTCATTAAGGTAGGACTTGTAGTAGTGACTGGCATACCCGTGGACATACCTGGCCATGTTGCAAAGGACAGGTTTTATGTAGTCACACGCCACTTTTATCTGTTTTTCCTGGCGTTCAGCTGAGCAGGTGTAAAAAGCTTGGTGTGCCTCCAGAAACCTCACTGTGGGGTTTTTTTTTTTTTTTTGTACAGGCACCCACCCAACCGGGATTTTCACAGAGAGCCGGGTGCATCCCGCCGGCTTCAGACACCCCTTTTCCTTAAGGAGGGGGTTGCTCGGCATCGTCGGGGGCGAATCCACCGAAGGCAGAAAGACCAAACCCGCAGCGGTGGGATCACACCAAGGTCTGAGAGTCTGAAGGACACAGCAGTGCCCGGGACAGGGGGGCTGCCCGTCCTGCTCCCACCCGCCTGGGCAGGAGGCTGAGAAGGGGCTGCCCAGCATCCCTGCCCAGCACCTGAGCAGAGCTGACCATCACCCCGTGCCCAGCCTGCTGGGGGGCTGCGGGACGGAGGGAAGCAGCTCTACAGAGAAAGGGGGGGGGGGGGTCCCCAGCGCTGCCAGACACGATGCCTGGCACAGGACCCCCCCCCATCTGGAGGTGGGATGAGGCTGTTACCTAAAGCCAACGGTTACTCATCCCTGACAACGCTGACGTCACGGCATCCCAAAAAAAAAAAGAGCCAGGAGGGCCTGTGGGAGAGAAGCCCCGGGATGGCGATGGAGCCTCCGGGCGGGGGGGGCTGGGGGGGTGAGGAGGTGGGATGGTGGGTGGTGGGGGGGGGGGTAGATCGGGGGCGTCGCAGGGCTGGAGCCAGGGCTGCCTGCACCCTCCTCCTGCCTGGGCTCCTCTGGGAGAGCGGGGTGCCCTTCCCCATCCCCTCGGGGAGAGCGGGGTGCTCTGCCTGGTCCCTGCCTGGCACCTTCACAAAGAAAGGGGGGGTCCCTGTCCGACCCTGCTCGATCCCTTCAGGGAGAGGGGGGGATGCCTGCCCGACCCCCTCCGGGACATCGGGGGTGCCTGTCCGGTTCCTTCAGGGAGAGGGGGGGAGTGTCTGTCCGACAATCCCTTCAGGGAGAGCGGGGTGCCCTGCCCGGTGTCCCTATGGGAGAGGCTGGGGGTGCCTGCCCGGTCCCCTCAGGGAGAAGGGGGGGTGCCTGCCCGATCCTTCCCAGCCCCTCAGGGAGACGGGGGGGGGGGGGGGGAAGGGGGGTGCCTGCTCGATCCTTTCAAACAGAGCTGGGTGCCCTGTCCGACCCTGCTTGATCCCTTCGGGGTGCGGGGTGGGGGGGGGTGGGGGTTGGGGGTGGGGTGGCGGGAATGGGGTGCCTGCTCGGCCCCCTCTGGGACATCGGGGGTGCCTGCCCGGTTCTCCGAGGGAGGGGAGGGGTGCTTGCCCGACCCTGCTCGATCCCTTCCAGGAGAGCGGGGTGCGCTGCCTGTCCCCGCCGGGTCTCCCCCGGGAAAACCAGACGCGCTGCCGGGACCCTCTCAGGGAAGAGCCGAGCCCCTCCCGCCCGCTCCCCTCGGGAAGCGCAGACCCCAGCCGGGCTCCCCACCACGCTGCGGAACCTTTGGGGGTGCGGGGGTGTGAATCAGCGCGGGGAAACGGCGCTTCCAAACTCCCCCCGAGCCCCGTTTGCGGCAGCCGGGCACAAGTTTCGGGGCAGCCCAGAGGAGGGAAGGGAAGGGACCCCCTGGCAGAGCATCTCCCGCTCCCCTTGCCCCCCCCCCCCCCAAGCCCTCCCGTACCTGCCCCACCAGGTCGTAGTCCAGCTCCTCCGCGATGGCTTTAGCGGCGTCGGGGCCCGCCGGGATCTCCGCCGCCCACTCGTTGAGGAACTGCCGCTCCGCGCAACCTCCGCGGGCCAAGCAGCCGGCGACCAGCAGCGCCAGGGCCGCGCACCGGCGACCGTCCATGTCCGCGGAAGGGCGGGGGGGGGGAAACCCGCGTTGCTAAGGCGAGCGCGGAGCCGGGGGTGCGGAGGGGGGGGGGGGGGAGCGGGCGGCCGCGGCCCGGTGCCGGTCCCTCGGTTGCCGGCGCGGCTGCCCGGGGCTGTGCGGCGCCCAGACCCTCCGGAGCCGGAATGGAAATGAGTGTTTACACGTCAAAACGACGACAGCCATCCTGACGTCAAGTGTACCTGGCCCCCGAGCCGGGGGGGAAGTGGGGGGGGGGGGGGGGGGTTGGGGGGGGTGAGGGGGGTTGGTAATTCCCCCGGGGGAGCGGGCGGTGTGCGCGGAAGCGGGCGGGAGGGAGGCGGGGGCGAATCCCGCCCGGCCCGGGCGGGTCCTGGAGGCGTCACTTCGGGGGGCTCCTCACCGCCCCCCCCCCCCCCCGCCCCCCCGATCCCATCCCACCGCATTGCATCCCATCCCCATCCCATCCCACCGCAGCCCATCCCTATCCCACCCCCCGTCCCCCGGGACGAGGGTCCTGGGGGTCTGGGTCCCGGGGGACAGCGAGCGGTCACGGCCGCGCCGGGGCTCGTCTTTGCGCCGTTTCGATGATCGTTTACCGTAATTAGAGATAATGAGCGAGGTTCACCCCGAGGCGCAGCCCTCTCCTCGCAGCCCAGACCGCGGCAGGTGGGTTTTCTGCCCCCCAGCCCCGCCGTGTCCTTGGGAGGAGCAGCGCTCGCCTCTCCGCCCCGGTGCGAGTGGAGATCTGAGCGAATAAAACAATTTTTTTTTTTTTTTTTTCCAATTAAGCTAATAACCCGGGACCTACCGCGCGGTAATGCTTGATTAATGTGCATCGTCCCCTGATACCTCCAACACACCGTAGGTATGCTGCATTAATTGGCACTGCTACCCGCTCTGATTATATAACAGATATCTTTATCCTGAATTTTTAAATTAATTTTAAATTTTCTCTCTTTTTTTTTTTTTTTTTTTCCACATCCAGTAGTCCTCACATTGCACTTTCTCAGCAAGCATTGCAATTTGTTAAATACTCACTTATTTCCATATTTTAATTTTGCACCTGCATTTCCCCAGCTTCTTCTATTTAGCCTCCCTACTACCATTCTATTGTCTTTCCTCACATGTCAGAAGATGCCTCTAAAAATTCCCTAATGTTCCCTGAATGCTCTTGCCTCTACCTCTGAAACTGAACCTTTCAGCAACTTTAGTTTATAGTTAACTATATTTCACTGCTTGATTCTTCCAACTTTTAAACTGGAAATTTTAGTAAGTTACTTTTAAATATCAGAGCTGTGCTTCAATACTGCTTTCCTTCTGTTTATTATAGAGCGACGGATATGCTTCCCCTACTCTTCCCGGGCTTCTAAAATAGGAAGAACATGGAAAACATAAATGCAAAGCAGTGAGGAGTGAAAAATATTGTAAAAGACCAGCATTTTGTTGTCTGAAATCTCATCCTCAGGAATCATTGTGCCAGGACGGGTATGGTTCTGAGGGCTGCTGTGGGGACCCCTGTGTTCCCATAGGGATGAAGGGACTGGTACCACTGCAGCTGAAGTACCATCCATGGCATGTACAGGACTGGAATAATGGGAATCTGAAGTGGATCAAGGGAGGGGAAAAAGCATGAGACTGTAATAAGGATACCAGAAACCTCAACAGAATATCAATAAATACCAACATAGAACAGAACAGAAAATAAAATGAAACTACTGCAGCACCATCCTGGTACTCACCCCTACTCACTTTCTGCAACGTGGTGTGTAATGACAGGACAGAGTTTGTCAAAGTCGAGTCAGCGACTAGGACACATATACTCTGATCGTTTTCGTTTATTGTATTTGCTGCATGATTTTCTCGGCGTTCACTGCCAAAAGCATATTTTCTTTACTTTCCTGGACAGATGCCTTAGAGATCCCTCTGTTCCACTGTTAGCAACGTGTTTCTGAGGCTTTCTTTAGATGTGGTTGTCTCACCAAGCCACTGCTGGGTCCACAGAGGTTTTTCCCGTGTCCATTTTACCACTACTGTTCTACACAAAATACCAACGGCTTTTTATCTCTCATTTCTCATCACCGAGACTGCACCTTGGCTCGAATTTTACATCTTATATTAAGCAACTGTGCAGAAACATTGTCTGCATACAGAAATGAAATGAGTGTCATATGTATGTATAATGACAATTTACATTCCCAAGTCTTAAGTGGTGGTTAGAACACCTACGTCCCTAAGAGTGTTTTGAAAATCTTAGTATTCTTTTCTAAATAATTAATTCATTCACATGTGTTTATTTATTGGGATAACCTTCTGTGCAGGACTTCAGCTAGACGGGCTGTGTACAGAGTCTTGAGCTGTGCTAGAGAATGAGCTCTGTGCTACACAAAGTTGGTTGTCCCATCTGTTAATGAAGAATGCTGTCCAATCCACCACGTTCCCATCTAATAATAGCATAATAAAAAGGAACAGCTTGCTCAGCAGCATCAGGTGAAGTCAAAGATAATTTTTCATGCTCCGTAAACAATTTAGGTTTGTTGTTTACCAGTGAAAGATTTATTTAGCTCCTAGTGTGACCCATGGTATTCTGCTCCAGTGTGAAATCAGAAACAAACACAAGACCAATTCTAAAAATATTATTTCTAGGATATAATTTCAGTTTTACATGATATTCAAGATAGATGTGCTTCTAGGGGATCTACATTCTGATAAGGACCTCTCTGCATCTGGTGGAGTATTGTTGGTAAAGCAGCTCTTGAGCGTTTTTCCAGTGTGTGGTATCTGAGTGGGAATTATTACATTTCCGAAGCTGAAGTGTCTTCCTCTAGACCAAGTGCAAAGTGTTTCCTTGCACATAGGTAAGATACCCATCAATACAGTGTGTAATACTGACAATTAATTCCTGACCCACAAAGGTCTGCAGCCATGGGTTGCAGGAGAGATGTGATTTAAACCTCCCAGTCCTGATTTTGACCTAACAAAGCTGAATATCAGCAGTAATTCTGCTAAAATATTTTTTTATTAAGAAAAGTATATTACAGCAGCATAAATGAACTAAAAATCAGAACCCATGGGGCAGGAGTCTTTTCTGAAATCTCACATTGCTTCAGCAAGTACAAATACATACCTTCATCTGTTTATGTTCTGGATGCCTCCTCTCTAGCACAATTAGCTCACACGGGTACGTTGGAGAATTCTGTGTTACCATTTGGTAACTTGGATCTGGGACATCTGGGTGATAATTATATTGGCAACGTCTGTACACATCCCACATGAAAACTTATCCCCCCATTGTAGCCAAAGCCAAAGTTCCATCTCTCTCATGCCCAAGAGTTTAACTGACTGGGTTTTTCTTCCTTGACATCAAAGGGCATGTAAAGGTTTCAGGCCATAGCTGTGTTTTCATACCTGCATTTCTGATCCTTCAAAAAGTTGTCCGTGAAAAAGGGGGGCAGTCCTGTTTTGAGAAGCCAAGCGCTTACACACAACCTCCTCTTTCCTCGCTCGTTAGCAAGGCTAACGCGTTTAAACCTAGCAATTCTTATTCAAGGCTGAAGTCTGGGTAAGGGGCGGGAAGGGGTTGAGCCCGGATCTCTGCTTAACTGCTGTGGCACCCAGCAGACCCCCACTGCTGACTGCTGCGGGACGTGGGGATGGGGAGGGGGCTGCACTGGGAACAGGGGTCTGGGGGAGCTGGGGGAAGCTGGGGGGGTGGAGCTGAGAGGGTCTTCATCGCATCCGCGCTGGGTATTTGTACCTTCCCGTCAGCCAGGACCGTGCTGTCGGGCAAAACCTGCCATGCGGGGGGAAGGCTGGGAGGGTGTCTCTGAACGGCAGCCGGTGTCCCGGGAAATATATCGATTACAAAGTGGGAAGAGCAGCCATGAGACCCTGCGACCCGTGCAGTGAGAAAGCCGCCGCCGAAATGAAAGCACCCCAGGAAGCTACGAAGAGATAAAAGTCGCATTCCTTCATCTTTGTGCACCTTGCAGAAGAGGCACAATTGTCTTTCTTGCTGAGGCAAATAATGAAAGAGCAGAGATAAACAGGAACAGAGCATAAAGAAAAGTGTAGGCAGGAAAAAGGATTAAGTTTATCTGAAGAAATAAATCAAAAGGTTTCAGGGGAATGCCACCATTTTATCATCTCATTATTTTGAAAGAATGTTTTTGACGAAGAAGGGCATTGTATAACCACATTTCATTCTGATCTGGGCACAAGTTAAAAGCCAGAGAGCAAATTCATCTCTGGTGTCCCTTCACGAAGACGGCCCACCTGATTTGGCAAAATGAAACGAAGCGTTTTTTCTCTAGCCGCAGAACTTTCTTTCGACAGGTAAAATGATTTTGGTTAAAATATTGGTCATTCTTGATGGGTAAACGATGAGCCCTCCCTGTGGGAAGGCAGAAGAGGCGCTTTTACAAAGCAGGAGGAACATGTCCCGAAGGTGTTACTGCATCCCTGCGCTCTTGATGCTGAATTGGTGGAGAAAAATGAGATGAGGTCCCGGTGCTGGGCGCCTTCCACCGCCGCGGGTGGCTGGAGCAGAGACCCATCCACCGCAACCCGTGCTCCGAAAGACGTAGCGATGCGGGGGTGGAAATGCTGGTTTGGGGGATGAGATCGGTGCGGGGGGGGGGGGGGGTCGGCGGTCGGCCCCCTCCTAGACGAAGTGCTTTGGCTACCACCAGCGCCCACACTTTGAGGGGGTCTCTCGGGCCGTTCCGCCAGCTCGGAGCAGCTCCCGCCCCAGTTTTGCAGCACTCCCCCAACTTTCACCCGGCGGCCGAGGAGCTTGCTCCGTGCTGCCACCCGTGAGGAGCAGCACCACCCTCCTTCTCTTATTCCTCCTCCAAGGGCATCCACCTAGAAGAACTACACGCCGCAGAAAACCTCTTACATAAAAGTGACCGCTGATATTTCTGCCCGCATCTCATTACAAAATCAGCCTTGTTATTAACACTGCAGGATCAGCAGATCTCGCACAGCTGCCGGGGAGCTAAATGCGCTTGCAAGATGAAACTTCAGGTTGTGGAGTATAAAACCAACCGGTTGCGCGGGCGTCAACATTATTTTACTGATTCTACTTGAAAGGTCCGATCTGAGAATGTTAACACCACTCAAACGGGAATTTGTGTTGTACGTAGCTTTAATTCGCCAAGTCAGAGCACCACGTCCTAAAATGAGAGTAGCTGGAAACGCAGTTTGATGGCTAAAGTGGATGTGGTAGCTGCTGTAGTTTAATTATTTAAATACTAAAAAGGGCTGTGCTGCTTGTATTTAATTTGGCTATGGACCAAAGAACACTCTTGAAACCCACTCTTTTTCGGTAACACTATTTCTTTTTCTGCAGGAGCCAACACTACAAAGTAATTGAAGGATAAGTATAAAAGAAGCCATATGTGTAGGCAATCACACAGAATATGGGAAACACCTGTTTTTCCGTCAATTACTGCCTGCAAACTAGTGGGGCATGTTTATTTTGGGGGCATTACATTTGCTTGGGTAATAGCGCATGACACATTTTCAGTTTTACGGCAGACGAGCACTGAGAACAGCTAATCATATCTGTGTAAATGAAACACAAACATGCCCCCCCAGCCATACGTGCGGTTCAATAGGGGCCTAATGACACCAGGCATTACCCGCTGCACGCTCTCCAGCGAGCAGGAAGCAGTTGGTGAACAACCGTCCATTTGTAGCAAACTGGCTAATTCTGTTTACTCTACGGCTCCAACTCATTCAAGCAAAAAGCCTGGAAAATGCAGAGGCAGGACGGTAGGAGAGGCGGAAAACCCCGGAAAAGCAGCAATAAGGTAATTATTTGGGAGAGACAAAGACCCTCAAAGTATTTTACTGCTGCTGGCAATAGAACGAGGCACGGTTGAAAGTTCATATCCTGTTTGCTCCTAATCCAGGTAACAGAGGTAATCAAAGAAGGGAAGCATTTTAAGGGAACATTTTATCAATGTAGATATAAACCCCAACATTTTTAAATTATACATATTTGGGTTACACTTTTAATAACATTTTACTTGTAGTAAAGGACTTTATTGTCCTCACTTGCAAGCTCTTCAATAAATCTCTAAGGGAGGACCAATAAGTTCGTAAATTGTTGACGTATTTTAATAACAGCACAAATAATATTTAGCATTGACAAAAACACTACTGAGAATTCAAAATTACTATTTTCATTACACGTTTAATTTAAAGGGGGGCGGTTTTGTAGAGGTCTTTTTAGAAGTCTAAGTACATTGATTAATTATTTTTAAATAGCTCTTATACAGTGTTCTTCCTCTTCATGTTCCATTTCAAGTGTGATGAAAAAGAGAAAAGACCGGAAGGAAGAGAGTATGAATACATGAGAGGAGGGTAAAAATCCGTGGGTAAACAGATTAAACCTCACTCATAGCTATATAAAAAGCTGCATTTAAAAACTGTTTATTCCTTCTCTGTTCCTTATTTTTTGAGTAGCAAAAAAGTGACAACAAATGATGATTTTAGGTTAAAATTTCAGGAAAGTTTTCTTGTGTGAGGAGAGGGTAAGTCTCATTGAAGAAAACTGTGAGAAACTGAATCATAAGTGCTTCCTTCCGAAGTCAGTGCTGGTCCCATAACGTCCACACGTAAGGAAAAGAATCACGGAACAGGTTGGAATCACCGGATCACTCAGGCTGGAGAAGACCCTTAAGATCACCGAGCCCGACCATAAACCTCCCGCTGCCAAACCCACCACTACACCACGGCCCTGAGCACCACATCTACACGTCTTTTAAATTCCCCCAGTGATCCTGACTCCACTGCTTCCAGGGGCAGCCTCTTCCAGTGCTTGACAACCCTTCCCACATCAAGTAGTGGCCAACATTAGATGGTCAGCCTCTTGCAGAGAGGAGAGAGAGAGGTGCCTGTCACCTTCCAAGTTCCTTTTGGTGGTGACCCCAAGCGCAGGTGAACACGGGGTGGGTGGAAGCATGTGGCTTTCACCCCCATCTCCCCAGGGCCTTTCTTTGTGCTCTTTGTGCACCTGAGTGCCCTTCCAAGGCCACGTCAGTGCCCGAGGTCACCTCGCCAGGAGATGCACCGACCCCCTGTAAAAGTTGCCTGAAATCGGGCTGAT